ACAGAGAACATGAAAAGGTGGAAGTTGCCCTACCAACTCTAAGAGGCTAATTAAGATGAGCTATTATCAGGAGAAAAAAAACTTTTGTAGTGATAATCAAGATGGCCCATTCCAGACAGTTGACAAGAAGGTGTGAGGATAGTGTGAGGATACTTAACATGGGGGAAATAGATTCAATTTGTATAATGACCCAGCCACTCCCAAGTATCAGGGGGTAGCAGTGTTAGTCTGTATCTACAAAAACAACAAGGAGTCTGGTGGCACCTTAAAGACTAACAGATTTATTTGGGCATAAGCTTTCGTGGGTAAAAACCTCACTTCTTCAGATGCATAGAGTGAAAGTTACAGATGCAGGCATTATATACTGACACATGGAGAGCAGGGAGTTACTTTGCAAGTGGAGAACCAGTGTTGACAGGGCCAATTCAATCAAGGTGGATGTAGTCCACTCCCAATAATAGATGAGGAGGAGGTGTCAATTCCAGGAGAGGAAAAGCTGCTTCTGTAATAAGCCAGCCACTCCCAGTCCCTATTCAAGCCCAGATTAATGGTGTTAAATTTGCAAATGAATTTTAGTTCTGCTGTTTCTCTTTGAAGTCTGTTTCTGAAGTTTTTTTGTTCAATGATAGTGACTTTTAAATCTGTAATAGAATGACCAGGGAGATTGAAGTGTTCACTTACTGGCTTATGTATGTTACCATTCCTGATGTCCGATTTGTGTCCATTTATTCTTTTGCGGAGGGACTGTCTGGTTTGGCCAATGTACATGGCAGAGGGGCATTGCTGGCACATGATGGCATATATAACATTAGTGGATGTGCAGGTGAATGAGCCCTTGATGGTGTGGCTGATGTGGTTGGGTCCTCTGATGGTGTCGCCAGAGTAGATATGGGGACAGAGTAGGCAACGAGGTTTGCTACAGAGATTGGTTCCTAGGTTGGTGTTTCTGTGGTGTGGTGTGTGGTTGCTGGTGAGTATTTGCTTCAGGTTGGGGGGTTGTCTGTAAGCGAGGACTGGCCTGCCTCCCAAGGTCTGTGAGAGTGAGGGATCATTTTCCAGGATAGGTTGTAGATCGTGGATAATGCGCTGGAGAGGTTTTAGCTGGGGGCTGTATGTGATGGCCAGTGGTGTTCTGTTGTTGTCCTTGTTGGGCCTGTCGTGTAGTAGGTGATTTCTGGGTACCCGTCTTGCTCTGTCAGTCTGTTTCCTCACTTCCCCAGGTGGGTAGTGTAGTTTTACGAATGCTTGATAAAGATCTTGTAGGTGTTTGCCTCTGTCTGAGGGGTTGGAGCAAATTCGGTTGTATCTTAGGGCTTGGCTGTAGACAATGGATCGTGTGATGTCTCTTGGATGGAAGCTGGAGGCATGTAGGTACGTATAGCGGTCAGTAGGTTTCCGGTATAGGGTGGTGTTTATGTGACCATCACTTATTTGCACTTATTTGTCCAGGAAGTGGATCTCTTGTGTGGACTGGTCCAGGCTGAGGTTGAGGGTGGAGTGGAAATTGTTGAAGTCCAGGTGGAATTCTTCAAGGGCCTCCTTTCCGTGGGTCCATATGATGAAGATGTCATCAATGTAGCGCAAGTAGAGGGGGGCACTAGGGGACAAGAGCTGAGGAAGCGTTGTTCTAAGTCCAACATAAAAATGTTGGCATACTGTGGGGTCATGCGGATACCCATAGCAGTGCCACTGACTTGAAGGTATAAGTTGTCCCCAAATCTGAAGTGGTTGTGGGTGAGGACAAAGTCACAAAGCTCAGCCACCAGGCGTGCTGTGGCCTCATCAGGGATACTGTTCCTGACAGCTTGTAGTCCATCCTCATGTGGAATATTGGTGTAAAGTGCTTCTACATCCATGGTGGCCAGGATGGTGTTTTCAGGAAGAACACCACCGACTTCCTGAGGAAACTACAATGCATTGGTGTCTCGAAGATAGCTGGGAGTGCTGGTAGCGTAGGGTCTGAGGGGAGAGTCCAAATAGCCAGATAATCCTGCTGTAAGAGTGCCAATGCCTGAGATGATGGGGCGTCCAGGGTTTCTGGGTTTATGGATCTTGGGTAGCAGATAGAATACCCCTGGTCAGGGTTCTGGGGGGGTGTCCATGTCCAGCCACTCCCAGTCTCTATTCAAGCCCAAGTTAATGGTATCTAGTTTGCAAATTAATTCTAGTTCAGCAGTTTCTCATTGGAGTCTGTTTCTGAAGCTTTTCTGTTGCAAAATTGCCACTTCAACCTCTCTGGTCACTCAGTAACAGACTTAAAGTGTTCTCTTACTGGTTTTTGAATGTTATGATTCCTGATGTCAGATTTGTGTCCATTTATTCTTTTGTGTAGAGACTGTCCGGTTTGGCCAATGTATATGGCAGAGGGGCATTGCTGGCACATGATGGCATATATCACATTGGTAGATGTGCAGGTGAACGAGCCCCTGATGGCGTAGCTGATGTGATTAAGTCCTATGGTGGTATCACTTGAATAGATATGTGGACAGAGTTGGCATCGGGCTTTGTTGCAAGAAGTGGTAATGGCCATATATCAGCAATGTACTTGGGGAGGTCCTGTTTGCATATAGATAACAGGAAGGGGTTGTGGCCACACCACGTACACATGCCCAGCTAGGTGATCCCATCAACATAGCGAAATAATATTACCGGAAAATGACTCTCACTGTAGGCCTCTGGCAGGAACAAAACATTGTTAGTGACCATGGAAACTAACAAACACTTAAAACAGACTCTGCTTGTAACTAGTTATGCACTTGATTATAAGTTGTAAGTTAGATGTGATCCAAGAGCAAGCCTGTAAGTGCTCAGGGGCAGTCCATTGACTATTCTTTGGCTGAATGAAGGTAACAGATGCAGCAGAGGCCCTGGTGTCATGGCAGGGGGATGCTGAAATAGACAGGAATGAAAAATTCCATAAAAGGTCATTCCTTAGCCCAAAGTGCAAGCTTAAACCTAACTCAACTGGCAGATTCTTGATGTCTGCCTTAAAACGTGCCAACAAGGATGAGTTCCCGGGGGCTCTTACTGTGTCCAAAAATACTATGTACATAATAAGCTTTAAAAATCTAATGCCTGTGGCTTTGCTGGATTCTTCTTTCTGCAGTGCTCAGCAGTCTGTTATGAGAGCAAAATCATTAAAGGAGGAACTGGAAGAAATGAAAATTAGCCTGACCATCTCAGAAGAGAAGAGATGCAATATTGTGACCCAGCATAAACAGCTAGTAGGTCTTCTGATAATATATAAAAGTAAGAAGCTGTACTGAGGGAATGAGCTGCCTACCATTATAAAATCAGGAAATTATGTTCCCTTAATATGGCTGGTAGTTCATGTAGCTTTGGAAATAACTTATCAGAGGCAAAGAGAGAGTTTTAACTGCCTTTTTACAACCTCTCAATTTGGGGCACGACTGAAATAAACTTTTGTTTGCAGCTTTGTTGCTCCATGTAATACTCTCGAATACTGTCTGGAAGGGATATTGTTGAGGAAGGCTAACCTTTTAAGGCACCGCAGTGGGTATTAGGAATGCCTGGCTCTGCTGACACTTTTTGTATGGACCTTGGGCAAAACACTTGGGGCCCGATTCTCCTTTAACTTACACTGAAGTCAGTAGAATTATACCCGTATAAAACTGGTGTGAGAAGAAACTTCACTAGCCCACCTGTATAATCTGAGTAATACCTCTCTCAAATGTTGAGGTGTAATTCATTAATGTTCATAAAGCACTTTGAGATCCTCAGATGGAAGGTTTTATAATTTCAAGTCTTATAGTGAAGTAAATCATTAAGAAATACTTACAACTGTCCCTATCTGCACTTAAAAAATCCTCTGGTCTTGCATACAACTAAATTTACAGAATGTTTGGTGTTGTAATCTGTAGCCACACCTGTCTTTAAATCGGTTGACATTCCTCTAGTAATTCTAGTGCTCTATGCAGCTCTTGTGGAGTCTGCAATTTAGATTGGCATTCTCTGGTTCCCCGAGAGAGAGATTTCTGCAGATAGCTAGTATGAGATCTAAGTCCTTCTTTAGTGGTGCTCAGGTCTTTTTCTGGACCTCCAGAGGTATGAATTCCCCCATAATGCTGAGTGAGGAGCACTGGTCAGTTAAGTTCTCCCGATGCTGCATGATGCCTGTAGATATAGACTAGAACTACTAAAGTTTCATTGTGCAACCAAAAAAGGGACTCCACTTCTTGAATTGTGGGGGACATGGGGGGAAAAACAATATGAAGATGCCTGCTACACTTTTCACCTTATTACAGGAAACTACAGCAAATGTTGCATATGCCACATCCTTTAGTAGAATATGATATTAGTCACAGTGTTCATTATTATGTTGCACTATTCCAACAATGCGAACATCATCTAGCATCATTCTAGCCATCTCACTTTTTTGTGGCTCCTTAACTTAGTGGTTCACCAGATCAAGGCAGAGTAGCTTTGAAACTAAGGTCACCCAAGTAATTTGATAGTATCCTATGACTATTATAAACCATACTACCTTTAAAACATGGCAAGCTGACTCTTCCTGTATTCTCTTTAACCAGGAAAAAGAGAATCAGTCTCTCATCATCAAAATTTCTTCTCTTCAGGAAGAGGTACAGTATATATAAACTTTACAGGTACGTGTATTCCTCTAGTTAAACTGAGCATTTGAGGAATAGAATTTTTCTATTCTTTCAAGCCTGAGCTATTACATAGCAACACTGGTTATGTTCTACAACAGAAACTTCGTAGTGAGTCATGAGTCTCCAAGATGCATTACATTTCAGATTCATCTGGCAGATGAGGGAGAATAAGGTTTGTTGGGGGAGAGCAGTGGTGGTGGTTCCCTACTATGGAGGATCCAAAGATGTCAACTTCAGATAGCCCAAACACTGAAATAGTGTCCATCTAAACTCTTGCCCATAACAGGCACTTCTATTTCACCACTCAACTAAGATCTGGATTAAGAACTTTAGGTAGAAGTGTTCACCCCAGCTAAAAGGCAGTAACTGACTTCTGTCCATCAATATGTCTGTCACTGGCTGTGACCTATTTATGTTGAGAGACCTCCCAAAAGTCTGCATAATTGATCATGGCTTAATGGTGTCTTTTGGGGAATAGTAGAGTGTGTTTGTGACACTCTCATTTTAAAATGGTTGCTGTTGTATCTGATTGGAGGGAAATATGAAGATCAAGACAAAGGTAGTTAATATTTCATTATAAGTAAAGTATATTGTTATAAAATATTCTATTTCTTGAAAAGTATGGCTTATTTGTGGCGTGTGTGTGTGAGAGAGAGAGAGAGAACCAAGGGAGAGAGGAACATGCCATAGGGACTAATGACCCACAAGACACAGTGCAACAAACAGAAGAAATATCTCACAGAGCCAGAGAACTCTGTCCTGTGCTATTTCACCAGGCCCATCAATAGAACTTCCAAAACATGTCACTTGTCCAGTCAATTGCAAACCTCTAAGAGTATGTCCATGCTGTTAATTAATAGTATAGCCAATTGATTGACTATACTTGTGGCTCACTATGAGAAATGTTCAAGAGACCAAATAAGCAAACTCAGTCAAATGTATTGTCTTAAAAACAAAAATGGACGATATAAAAAGAAGACGTACTTATCATCCTTCTGTGAAGCTAATCTTCTCTTGCAGCATGTTCACCTTATGCAGAAGGTGTGCTTCAAAGATGCAAACCGAAACTATTTACATTTCTATTATGGCTGTTTCAAGTTTAAAAAGCACTCTGTCACTGAAGATACAACTCACCAGTTCCTTATTTTGTTGTTCTGTACCTTTCCTTATCTCTGTTCTAGATACCACATTCCAAACCCATTGAGAGTAGAGTTACATCCCAAGCTGTGCTAGGACATTCATATGTCTTGGCTTTTACAGGCTTCCTATTGCCTAATGCTAAAGTCAACTTTGTAAAGTGTTGTGGGATACTTGACGTGGGTGACAGGAATTGTGGGAAGAGCATAATACATTAATATAACTTCCCAAAACTATATTATATGCATAATGTGTGTTGGCTAACACTGCAGGGGAGGGGGGCATGCAGAGGTATGTGTGATTGCAGCACGTGTAGACCAACCCACAGTAGCTTCAGCGTAGCTACTATAAGTACTAACAATAGCGAAACCATAGCAGCACAAACTTCGGCGTAGGTTAGTCACCTGAGTATGTACCCAGAGTGCCAGGTGAACATATGCTGCCACGGCTTCCCTGCTATTCATAGGTTGGTAAATTAAAGCTAGCTTGGGTGTGCCTAGACAGGTTGCAGTCTAGGAATTGCTCCAAAGTGTACTGTCTTTCAAAGTTTCAAGAGCTGCCTAAAGCTTCTGGGGAGTGATGGGGGTGGTACTGTGTGGGAACCTGATCCACGTACCTTGAATGGGGTGAGTTTATAGTATATTTCCTGAATAAGGTAAAACTCAGGATTGTGTTAGCATAGAGATAGTGCCAATAAAAGTACATCAGCACTGGAAAGATCAGTGTTGCTGGGCAGCAGGCAGCCAGAGCTAGCCGGTTTGGTTCCTATGCAGTTGACACTGTAGGTGTTCACATTCTAAAGCCATGGGGGGGGGAAGGAGGGAGGGGGGAAGGAGGCAGGGTTTGCATGGTGTGGGGATATTGACCATCTCTCTCTTCCCCCTCCCCTGTTGGAGTATTTTGGAGGGGCCAGTCAGTAAGGAGTGATTTGAGAGGAGGAAATCTTACTGCCCATCTCTCTCGCCAGCTCATCCAAAATAATACACCACTACCTCGATATAACGTGACCCGATATAACACAAATTCGGATATAACGCAGTAAAGCAGTGCTGGGGGGGACGGGCGGGGCTGCGCACTCCGGTGGATCAAAGCAAGTTCAATATAATGCGGTTTCACCTATAACGTGGTAAGATTTTTTTTTTTGGCTCCCGAGGACAGCGTTATATCAAGGTAGAGGTGTATTTGGTAACTCTTCTTTGCTATGTCTAATAGTTTGCATTTTGATCAGAATATTAGGAATGCCTTGGATACAGATGGCCTTCAGAAGAAGATTGTGGAGTTATCCAAAGATGCTGCTGAGCTCCAAGTAAGCACTTTAAATTTAAACTTCATCATCACTGATAAGAGACTGTTCACCAAACTAGCCCTCTGTTTACTCCGAATTCCACAGCTCTCTGACACTGTCTGCCATCACAAGATGTGATGTGCTGGTAATAGCCTGGATTATGGATGGTGCTATCTGGGTTCTAGCAGTCTTCCTGATGGACCATTTTATTTCTTCTTTCTCCTACTGCAACCTCATTGAGAAGAATTCTTGTCTGTACTAGACTAGTTAAGGTCACAGTGCTAGAAATGAAATAATAAAAAGAAGTAAAGCACAGTGTAGATGGGCTAAGGGAAATGAATGTGTCTGTGGGAGTTTCAAAGCTCTCTTAAAGCTTAAGCAAATATCACAAAAAATATTGTGGAAAAGGAATGAACCTTTTTATCCTGAGCACTTGTCTCAACTAAAGTTACACATGAATACTGCAGACTCTTGGTTCATGCCAAATAGTTGCATAGATTATGACTTAGACTTTCAATGCTCCAGGTTGGCTACAAGATCAGCACCTAGAGCAGTGGTTCTCAACCAGGAGTATGCATACCCCCAGGGGATATGCTGAGGTCTTCCAGGGGATGAGATATCAACTCCATCTTGATATCTACATAGTTTTACAATAGGCTACATAAAAAGCACCAGTGAAGTCAGTACAAACTAAAATTTCATACAGACAATGACTTGTTTATACTGTTCTATATACTATACACTGAAATGTAAGTACAATAAATCAATTGGAATATAAATATTTGATGATTATATGGTAAAAATGAGAAGGTACACAATTTTTTAATAACGGTGTGCTGTGGCACGTCTGTGTGTTTTTATGTCTGATTTTGTAAGCAAGTAGTTTTTAAGTGAGGTGAAACTTGGGGGTACACAAGACAAATCAGACTCCTGAAAGGAGTACGGTGGTCTGGAAAGGTTGAGAGCCACTGACCTAGATGATGATGATATGGTTTTAAGTAATAGCCAGCCTGGGTCTGTCAAGAGCAAGTCTTCTTTGACAGAGCTACTGAGCTAGTGGATGGGGGTAAGTTGTACACATAAAAACTTGATTTTTAGAAAGGCTTTTGACAGTCCCATATGACATTCTTGTAACCAAACTAGGGAAATGTGGTCTAGAGAGTAAAGTACTGTAGGTGAAAAACTGGATGAAAAACTGTACTCAGAGTAGTTATCAATGTCTCATTGTCAAACTGGAGGGGAGTACCTAGTGGGATCCCACAAGGGTCAGTCATGGGTGTGCTTCTACTCAATATTTTCATTAATGACTTAGATAATGGAGTGGAGACTAGTATTATACAAATTTGTATATGACACCAAACTGGGAGGGGTTACTAATACTTTGGAGGACAGGATTATAATTCAAAACTACCTTGACAAATGGGAGAACTTGGTCTGAAATCAACATGATGAAGTTCAATAAAGACCTGTGCAAAGTATTTTGCTTAGGAAGAAAAGGTCAAATGTGCAACTATACAATGGGGTATAACTGGCTAGATGGGAGGTCTGCTGAAAAGGATCTGGGGGGTTATAGTGGATCACAAATTGAATGAATCAACAATGTGATGCAGTTGTAAAAGGCTAATATCATTCTGGGGTGTTTTAACAGGAGTGTTGTATGTAAGACACAGCAGATAACTGTCCCATTCTACTCAGCACTGCTGAGGCTTTGGTTGGAGTACTATGTCCAGTTCTGGGCACCACACTTTGGACTCCCTCCAATTTGTCCACATCTTTCCTAGAGGACTCCAGAGCAACACAAATGATGAAAGGTTTAGAAAACCTGACTTATGAGGAAAGGTTTAAAAAAAACTGGGCATGTTTAGTCTTGTGAAAGACTGAGGGGGAACTTGGTAACAGTGTTGAAATAGTTTAGAGCTGTTTATAAAGAGGACACAGTGATCAATTGTTCTCCATGTCCACTGAAGGTAGGACAAGAAGTAATGGGCTTAATCTGTAGCAAGGTTGATCTAGGTTGGATATTGAGGGAGGAGGGGACTTTCTAACTCTATGGATAGCTTAACTCTGGAACAGGCTTTCAAGGGAGGTTGTGGAACCTCCATCATTGGAGGTTTATAAGAACAAGTTGGACGAACACCTGTCAGGAGTCGTCTAGGTTTACTTGGTCCTACCTTAGCACAGGGCACTGAGCTGATGACCTCTCAAACTCCCTTCCAGCCCCGCATTTCTGTGATTCTGTATTTTTGTTCATAACTGTGATCTAAAATATCCCTCAGGGCACAATAGGAGGAGTCCAAGCAGTGTCATTCCATACAACTTGTAAACAAGGAGTAAAACTTCCATTGATAGTTCATAAATGTGACACTCCCCAGGGTTGTGAGGCATCTCACCACAAGCAGCCCTTAGCATGAGGCAGCCTTGTCTGTGCCTGCTCTGAACCAGTTCCCTGAATCCACCAGCCTTCGGCAAAGCAAGAGCTACCTCCAGGCCCCTGCCAGCCTCGCTCCCTCAGTACCAGTTAGTGAATGGCCCACACCAACCCCTGAGCCCTCTCCAAGCATTCCATGTAGTGTCCAGTTCTTTATTCGCTGAACACTCTCAGAAATACCAGGTGTCCTGTTCCCAAAGAAACAGCAGGTGCCAGCTTGTATAACTCCGCTTAGGACCAGAACTCTGCTTTACAGCAAAGCACTCCGATATATGGTGGCAACAAGATTAAGTTTATTATCAAAGACTAGAGATCCAGGAGATCTTGAGTCAAAAGATTGGAAACCAATAGTTCTATGTAAATCAAAATCTTAATACGCTTTCTAGAGACTCAGATTAGCTAACCGGTTAACCTCCTGTCTAAATAAGTTTCTCTCACCCAAAATTCTCTGCAGCACTTTCAACCAAGGCTGGAGGAGACTCCACTTTCATAGGTGCAGGATAACCGGGTTATCGTCTTTGCCTTCTAGAAATACTCAAAGTTCACTGTCTTTACTCATGAACAGGACAACTCCCTTCCCCCCCCCCCCTGCTTTTTCTTCTGCATGCTTCTCTCCTGTTGACTTCACATCTCTTAGTTAACATCTGACTTTGGATGGAAATGGGCATCCATTGTGTTAGTTTACAATGCGTAGTTTACATCCCAACAGAGAGATGTATGTTCCTTACCTCCTGGTTGGAGGGAAAACCTGTATTTATTTTTTTCCACCTTTGCTAGTGACTAATATCTTGACACAGATTTTAAAAACACATTTTCAGTATATAGACAGAACTTCTGACATAGCATTCACACACACTTTTCACAACTATATTAATGACTAGTGCGACACTGGCTTTCATTTGAGACCTCACATGACATTCTGTGATCAACTAGTATGTACACACTGGACTCAGGAGACTCTTGTAACTCCTCTACATCCCCCTCACCCTCGCCCCCTGCTAGTTGGCATTAAGAGGTTCTTGGGTCACAATATAAGCTTATGATGCCATTTTCCCCTTGCCACTAGTTGGTGGGGCTAAAATTGTAATACAGGACACTTGAATCTGCATGCCAATAAAAGGCCTTTCTCTAATCTCTTCCTCCCTTCAGATGCGAGTGCACATTTATGAGAACACTGTGGTGAATAAAGATGCAAGTCTATTGAAGGTTAGTAGCTTTAGTGTCATGACTGTATTGATTGAAATTTCTGAACATGGGGCACTTTAACTTATGGGGAAAGCTAATGAAACCATTTTACTGTAATATTTTAATACCCTTCTGTGCGATAGTAACTTACTCCATGGCTTCACTGGGCCTATGAATAGATCAGGAATTGGCAACCTTTGGCACGTGGCCCGCCAGGGTAAGCACCCTGGTGGGCCAGGCCAGTTTGTTTACCTGCAGCGTCCGTAGGTTCTGCCAATCACAGTTCCCACTGGCCGTGGTGCGCCGCTCCAGGCCAATGGGGGCTGCGAGAAGCGGTGCGGGCCGAGGGATGTGCTGGCCACCGCTTCCCGCCGCCCCCATTAGCCCGGAGCGGCGAACCGTGGCCAGTGGGAGCCACAATCCTCCGAACCTGTGAACACAGCAGGTAAACAAACAGGCCAGGCCCGGCCCGCCAGGGGGCTTACCCTGGCGAGCCGCATGCCGAAGGTTGCCGATCCCTGGAATAGATGTTTCTCAACATAAGTAAAGGCATTGGAATCTGGCCCTAAAGACATAGGGACCTGTTTATATCCAGCAAAAACAGCAGACTCCAGAAGAGGTAGAAAAACTTGACAGGCTATTCTTTGAAGTAGATGGGAAGAACATGCATGCCCAACACTTTAGCTTCTATTCTAAAGACTTTAAAAAATCCTAAAATGCTGATATCACTTTTCAATTTAAATGATTTTCCATGGGCTATTCCTCACTGGGTAAAATGTGGTAAATTGCATCTCTGCCTATGAGCACACATTTTCTCTTAGATATCTCTCTTTAAAACCCAGCTTGAGTTATAGGGGATGCAAATGTAATTTAAAGGCCTGGGCCTCCTTTTGGATTCTCAAATCAAGCCGATGTGCATTTCAAAAATCTTGGTTAGTATGTATTTCATCACTGAGTCAGAAAACATTCTGACCACCATTGCTTGTACAACAAGGACTGCACGTGCATTCTAAATGTGACGAGATTCCAACTTAAACGTAACTTACTCAATAAATATTGCAGTAGACAATTCGTAGGAAAGATGCCTCAGGCAAAGCTTATGTTGCCTAGAATGGAAAAGACTTAAAATTCTAAAATATCCTCAATTGTTGATTTACAGCTCGAGAGCATCAAAGCCTCTGTGCCTTCTTTAATCTGTCCTCCTTAGGAGTTATGTTCACCCAGTCAGTTGACCAAACAGAAACTGGATTTTGAATGCAGTCTAGTGGATTGAGTACTCCTGCAGTGATTGAGCCACAGAGGAACTTGCATAAACTGACTGTAAATTTTGGATAAGGAATAGATTAGAGAAAATTGTGATTTGCTTGAAGACATTGACACTTGCAGGATGAGCTACTGTTCACAAAGTAAACCACCGCTATGGTGCCACTAACCTAAATTAAAAGGGATTGGAGTAAGACCAGTTAAATGTACTACAGCAACATCTAAGTATTACTATTCTCCCAGGCTGCAGCCACAGGAAACACGCGAGGATGAAAGTTTAGCTGATCTTCAGCTTCTGTTTTATGTTGGTGACCTTACAGGCTTAGAATAGACTTTTTTTGTTTTTACAGCAACTTCCTTTTCTTTGCTCATTGGTGCATAGGTTCTCAGTGCATGTAACCTCACCTTTTTTAACAAGTACTCTTGTGGTTTTAAAATAATAGTAAAAAGGGACAGTGTACCAAAAGTAATATTTCATGTTGCTGCTGCTTTAAGGAATGCTCTGTAGCTGAGCTTCTGAGTATGTGAACTGTTAATGTAACTGTAATACATCTTTGAAACATGCATAGCCATATAAACTGTCAGTAAGTTGCCACTTTAACTAATTCTACATTTTAAACCTGAAATGTGAAACACTGGCATCAGTGCTTCCCTTAGTTATTTTTATTTTGAATTTGTGCAGCCCTCTTTTCTGTGTCTACACCTGTAGAGATCTGAACGAAGTGACACAAACTTGTTTGTTCATAAACTTTATGCAACCTGTCTCTTCCATACAGAGCCTTAAGACTGAAACAGCCATGGTATAAATTTGGGGGTTGTTTATCCAAGCCACCAAAGTTTCAGGAGGGTAGTTAATGTAGTGGTGACTGCTGTCATGCACTTATGTACCAGATATAGACTGGCTACGTAGCTTGCTTATTATAGACACCAAATGGGTTCATCGTAAGATGCTTTAATGCTTTGGCAGGTATGGCTGAGGTTGGCTTAAAATAAGGTATCTTGCACACCGTGCCACCTAGTGGCTGAACAGTATAATACAGTTTAGCATTCCATTACAGCTGAAAGAACGAGGAGTCCTTGTGGCACCTTAGACTAACAAATTTATTTGGGCATAAGCTTTCGTGGGCTAAAACCCACTTCATTGGATGCATGCAGTGGAAAATACAGTAGGAAGATACACACACACACACACACACACACACACACACACACACACACACACA